GGAGGTTGCCCTTCCAATAACCCTTGATGCCTTCTTCCTTTGCTATAAGTGTTGTAGCCTGTAATTCATATTCGAGTTAGCTCCAACAAAAATTTTTGGATAAATGTTCTGATCAAAAGAGCATTTACTGACAAGATGCATCAAAGGTTGAGGCAAAGAGATAGGGTAGACTAACAATACAGCATTTACTGTCATTTACTGTCAAGTATATACTAATCTTTTGCTAAGAGGATCCATCTAGTGACAAAAGGGAACCTTATGATAAGTTAGTTGGCAATTTTAATACCAAAAATTTGGTGACTTATCTATCTTTCAAATTAGATAGGTACAACAACAAAGCTCTACAATGTTTTTTTAAAAAAGAAGAAGAAGAAGGAAGGAAGGAAGGAAGGAAGGAAGAAAGAAAGAAAGCGTCTGGCCCAAAGGAGGCTATACATGGCATATAAGCAATCAGCTTATTATAAAACCTGCAGAAGAAAGATTAACACTTTCAACGCATCCATGCTATTAGCTACCATAAAATAGGTATAAACAAATCATTTAAATTTGATGCACATATAAAAATAGGAAACGATGCAATCGTCATATACCTCAATGAAACCAATTGCCTTCTTAGCACTTTCTTGCCCTACTCGTACTCCATGAGTCTGCAAATATATAATGCAATATTAAAATAGTCTGCAATCTATACACACGACAACAAAGCAAAAAAATTTCTGATCAGCAAGGATCATATCTTCGCTAAATTATAAGGACATAAGTATTAAAAAAAGAAGGCAAAGTAGTAAAGAATCTGGAAAGGAAAAATAAAAAATGAAAAGAGAAATTGGAAAAAAAAATGCCACAATACGTTAAGCACGTCCAAACAAATTACAAATTGCAGCAACTCATTCTTATTGAATGAAAATATTGGACATATCTGCAATTCCTTTTACCATGAAAACAAATTTACGTCAATTGACAGAAAAGTTAAAGACGACCGAAAGTTTATATCTGGTCAAGGTTGACAAAATATCGATCTTCCATACTTGAATTTCCATTTGCTAGCTTCAATCTCTAAGCTTAAGGACGAAAAAAAAAGAATTTTCGACACACAGAAAAATGTAGCGAATTTCGGTTATTGCAGTTCTCAAAAATAACGACGTATAAAAAAATGCAGTCGAGGAATTAACAGTGTTAAGTTCGATACAGTACCTGCATAAGGATCTTGATACGATCCAGAGGAGCAGTGATAGTCTTAGCAGCAGCACCGGCAATGGCTCCAGCGAAAAACAAGGAAACATCTCTGGGCACGAATGCGACAACGGCCAGCGGATGCTTCAGGAGCTGAGCCAGCGTGGGCATGAATTCTTTATCAACTTTCCTCTCTGCTATGGAAACACAGGCGAATTTGCAATGATCGCCACGGGAACCAAGCCCACCATAACCATCGGTGGCGAGACCGAGGGTGGTCTTCTTCCACAACGGTTCGTGGTCGTCGGCGTCCACGACATTGTTGAAAGAGTTGGCGAGGCTTGGAATGTTTCGCGTTGTAAAAAGGACTCTGTCCCCACTCATGTTTCGTTCAGAATGAAGCACAAAGAAGATTAGCGAGGAGGGTAGATGCGAGACGGGCGAATGAAATCAAGAACAGTAGGCTGCTCCAGGAATAATGCGTGTTACTACCTCTTCCGGTTCTCAGTATAGCATCTGTGCAATTAATTACTACTATAAACTATATTTTATATTTAATCACTGAGTTAGTATGTATTTAACATTTCATGTTGTCAGTAGGAAAAACTGAAAAAAACAGGTTTTTTTTTTTTGGCCAGCGGTAAAAGACAGTTAATCGTTAATATGCGCGCGCAACAAATGAACAAATAATATTGGCGGTTGAGAAGCGTCTCACAACTTATTAAAATTTAAAAGTGTCATATTGCCCCCCCTTTTTTTAAAAAATTCGCTTACGAATTCATATTAATTTTCCTAAAATATCCCAATTAAAAAGAATAATTTTTTTTAAAAGTATAAAATTTATTTTTAGTGTATTGGATAACGAAACTAAAAAATAACATTAGAATGGTGTATGTTGCAAAAAAAAAAAATCATATTAGGGTACTTGATACACCTTCATACAAATATAAATTTAGAAAATAATGTAAATTAAGACTCATGTTTGAGAGCAGTAAGCCTCTACTAACTTGTACGTTTATTAATACAGCTTTGTGTCATGAAAGTGCCAATTCTTTTGAATTTTTTTTATAAACTCCTTATCATTCATCTAGTAAATTCTACCTTTGCCTCAATTTTTAATTAAATTTAGAAATTTATAATTAACTCTAAAAGAAGGTAATCGAAGCACTCTCTAACTTGTTTTAGACCACTAAATGTGCTTTATAAGGAAAAAGTATACTCACACAAATTAAAAACAAAATGCATTCTCAAAATTAATAAAATCCCTGATTGAACTAGTGGGTAGAATTATAGTCCAACTTCGTTATTTCATAACTTTAATTATATTTAATCAATTTTCATAATTAAGGACCTTTTTTTCCCCCCCGCAAGCCCATGTGCCGTCTAATTCCAGAAACAAGTATAATAAATTTCTAAATTCGTTTGACCTAATTGTCAATTGAACTATGTTTTAAGAAACGAGCTGGGGATGTGGCGCGGGCCGTTCAATGGACAAAGCTGCAAGAACAATAATTTAAGAGGAAAAACAAATGGGTTGGCCAAAAAAAAAAAAGAGGTAAAACAAATGGGTTAAGATAATATGAATTCTATTATTGTCACCATCATTCAGTTTTGGTATTTATTTGTTTCTTGCGATTTTCCTCAGTGATTGTTTGAAACTCTTTCTCACTTGCTGCAATTAGGCGTTGAACAATGTCATATGCGGTAAGCCTGATGCTGCACAGAGAAGCAATGGGAAAATCAGACGACAAAGCACAAACATAATTCAGGGTGGAGTATATAAAACACAATCAACTATACACACACACACACATGCACACACTATGTATGCTTTGCGCAAATGAGTTTGCCTTGGCAATCTCAATACCAAAGGTCTAGTTTGAGACAATATTTGATCCACTTATTTTTTTTTTTTTTTGGCCCCACGAGCAGTTAGAAATGATGCGTTTAGAAAAAAAGATCCATTCTGCAAACAAAGAATAAATGTATTGAAATAGATGGTTATTTAAGTATTGGTTTGAGGCAATGAGAAGGATGCAACAAAGATCAAGTTAATAATAATAGATCATAATCTTTACTGCTACAGATCAATAGAAGATCAGAGGAACCTGCTTGTTGGTAGGTTTTTCAACGCATTGGGCACAAAACCCCTGTACAACCCCATAACTCCATTCCGGTTCATAATACCTGCAATGATTGAATTATTGATTTGCTAATAGCACAAACTACTGAGGCATTAAACTTCAAGCACTCCCATCTTTCATATAAATTAAAATGTCTCCACTCCTAACAGGTGATTTCTCATTATAGTGACTGATATTAAATTGCCTTTTTTCCTTGGTACAGATATTAAATTGCCTTTTAGATGTAAAGATTTCCTCACATAGAACGGGTGTTCAGTTTCATACTTAAAACCCCAAATTCCTTGTCAGAAGTTTAATGCATATATGACCTGAACTAGCATTGCAATATTGAACAGAACCTGAAGTTGTTTGGAGCAACACGGAGTCCTAATTTTCACATAAACAGTTTTGAAGTTTCATTCATGAAACATTTCTCAATGCTAGGAATAGAATTTGAGGCCATGTGGATAGAAATAGGTATGTTGGGAGAGCCATCTCCCTCTAAGGACCTGACGACACTCGAATCTAAATTACTTGGTAAATACTAGATATTCTGTGTATTAAAATTGCATGTCTTGCTCTTAAAATCCCTCTTGGTGATTCTGTATATATTGCGACAATTCTGTACCTCTGATTGCATCAATTTTTGGCATTCAAATAAGTATTCATATAAAACTGATTACTGGAAAACCCTAAGAATGTCTGATCATGGAAAATGCCAACATTGGGCAAAACACTAAACACTAACACACTAACATAATGTTAAAATACCTCTTAATGTTATATATTTGTTACTACAGGGCACACAAATACAGAGACATACACATATAATTGTACCAAATGCATGAGAAACTGTTTTATGTTGAGAGTCAAAGAGCAATCCGTACCTGAAAGAGCATCTAGAACTGTCCTGTAAGGCGTACCCTTAATTTGCATCTGTCTTCGCATGGTGTCTAGAGGGTATGATGTCAGAGTGGCGAGAGAAGTTGAAAGCACAGCTGTTACTAGTGAGATTTCAGTTCTCTTCTGATATTTCTCGGGCAAAGACTTCTTCAATCTATTATTCAAAGATGATTAAGATTTTTCAATTGCAACATCCAAACCCATTCTTTTCTAATTTTGCCAAGAATATGAAAGATTGTGCGTGAACTCACAAGTCAAAAACACAAAAATTTACAGCAATATAAGGAGCTATTGCAATTAAAGAAGGCCCCAGTCCAATGTAGAAAGATCCAAATCCTTCATCTCTTAGCATGCCCAATGCAACCTGGAAAAGCCACAGTGTGATCCGTTTTCACATATGCAGATCCCACTGAGATGCAAAAGCCAGCTCTATCATACCTGTGTCATGGTTCGATGACCAGGTTCAACAGCTGATCGTAATCTCAAGACATCTAACGGATAAGCAACCTACATAGATATAAACAAAATTAGAAACACTGGTGGACATCACAAATAGCAGTAAAAAATAAAATTTAACAAGAGTAATGTTAGAATTCAGAAGAGCAAAAAACAGGTATATATTTACCAAAAAACAATGTTCATAGTCGTATATAGAATATACAGTAATGCTGGAATGAGGAGCAATAACATGATTGCAGTAAGTTACTTACAAAAGTAGATGTCATGCCTGCGAAAGCGCCTGCAGCAAGTCTTCCAAAAACAGAGAGCTCAACATTCTTTCCGCTGAATATTTTCTATAAATCCAAAAGTAAAAAAACTAGACTTGAAAAAAGATATATTTTAAGAGATAGTTAGGGGTTGACCTTATAGTTGTCATAAGCAAACAGCTGGACAGCACTGTAAGGTATGATCCAAAGCACCTGGAATGGAAAATAATAAACGCTGAAACAAATGAAATGACCAGTCAATATTTTTTGGAGTGATGACTACCAATAAGCTCAAATCATTGCAAAGACCTGGGGAAGGTTGCCCTTCCAGTAACCCTTGATGCCTTCTTCCCTCCCTATAACTGTTATAGCCTGCAATTCATGTTTGAGTTAGCTCCAATAAAAATTTAAGACAAATGTTCTGATCAGAAGAACTAAGTGCGCCGCCTTTCAATTAGATGGGTACAGAGAATTTAATGACAAAAGTGAACTTCATGATCATTTCGTTGGCAGCTTTTATACAAAGAAATTTGTGCACTACCTTTCAATCAGATGGGTACAGTTATAAGGCTCTACCAATTTAAGAGAATTATTAATTACTGGCTAGCAACAAGCAAATAAGTGCGTCTATGACCTAACACACGACAAAAAGTACTGTCTGGCAACCATCTTGTTCCACATTCCTTCACAAGGAATTGCATCATATATGCCATATCTGAAAGTGTTCAATAAATAGGACGTTATACTTGCTCATGGAATAAAAATAAACCCAACTGGAAACATCAAAGCCGCCATTCATAATAACTCCCAGATAGATTTGAGTAATCTAGAAAGTGAAGGGCATGAGTTGTTGGGTTTCTATGAGAACCCTAATCCTGCTCTCTAGAACTAATGAACACGAGAGTTTACGGAAAGAGTTTCAGGTTCAGGGCGTTAAACATGGCGCATGTGCAACCAGCGTAAAAACAGCAGAAGAAAGATCATAAAAATTAAACGTAGAAAATGATCCAATCATTAAATACCTCAATGAAACCAAATGCCTTCTTGGCGCTTGCTTGCCCGACTCGTACTCCATGAGTCTGCAAACACATAATGTCATATAAAAGGAAAAAAAAACATAATGTCATATCAAATAGACAGCAATCTAGGCACACATCGAAACAAAAAAACTTCCTGATCAGCAAGGAGCATATCTCTTGGCTGAATGATAAGCACATAACTTTAGAAATAATTTTTAAAAAAAATAGAAGAGGAAAAGTAACAATAATACCCAAAAATTGGAAAATAAAAGGAAAATCGGAAAGAAAGAAAAAACAATTTGTCGAACACGTTCAAAAATATTACAGATAGCAAAAAACTCATTCATGTTGAATAAAGATATTACACATACCTGCAATTTCTTTCACCATGAAAACAAATTTAAGTCAATTAACCGGAAAACAAAGACTACTAATTCCGAAAGTTTAAATCTCAATATTAAAAAAAAAAAATAGAATTCCTACACCTTATTTGCGTCTCCCGGTCATCATCTCCACGGTTTATAGCCAAAAAATGAATTTTTCAGTCTACAAGAAGTGTACCGAATTTCGGCTCTAGCAGTTCCCGAAATGACAAAGCATGAGAACTGTAGTTGAGGAATTAACAGTGTGGAATCAGAGACAGCACCTGCATAAGGATTTTGATACGATCCAGCGGAGAAGTGACAGTCTTGGCAGCAGCCCCGGAAATGGCTCCGGCGAAGAACAGGGCAACATCTTTGGGAACGAATGTGACAGCGGCCAGTGGATGCTTAAGGAGCTGAGCCAGAGTCGGCATGAATTCTTTATCAACTTTCCTCTCAGCTATCGAAACACAGGCGAATTTGTCACCATCGCCGCCGGAGCCACGACCATCATAACAGGCGGTGGCGAAGCTGAGGGTGGTCTTCTTCCACAATGGTTCCTTGTAAGCGGGGTCAACGACATAATCCAAGGAGTTTTTAAGGTTTGGAATTTTTTGCGTCGTAAGAAAGACTCTTTCATCTCTCATGCTTGGGTTTAGTACGAAGCACAAAGGAGATAAGCCGGGAATTGACTTGCTGAGAGTGGCGCAAATGAACACAATCGAGGACGGAAAGGACGGGAGATTGTGTATTATTCGCAAAGGTTGTCGCAAAAGAGAGGCCGTAGAATCGGAACGCAGACGTGTATATAAATTAATATTACATTTATGAATATAAATTAATATATATAACATGTTAATTCTAATATAACCAATACATAATATTTAAATTAAATAATCAATCAAGATATTAAGTAACAAGCGTATTTATCAATAAATTTTTTGAAACTGAAATTAATTAATCTCCTAATTGTATAAATCAAATTCCACGTGTTTCATTTACAAGATAAATACGTTGAAAATGCAATCATTTTTATATATGCAGGGTGTTAAAACTAATTACACAGATTCACGTAGAAAACAATTGCTAAAAATGTTCTAATTCATGTTATTATATACACATTTATCAAAAAGAAAAAGACAGAGATGCGACGTACCATGTCATATAGATTAAAATACATAAATACTATAAATTAGTATAAAATATCTTGCGACCTTTCGATCCCGTCGTGTCATGTACTGGAAAAGCTAATTACGCAAGGCCTCGTGACGTGATTAAATAAATATCATTCCATTAAGGAATTTGTGTACAAAGAATGTGGAATTCAACCCATAGATTAGCATCACCTTAAAAATTCCACAATGTTGTATTTGTAAAGAATATGCCCCTGCTATTGATTCTTCTTTCCAAGTCCTTATCATGCCCCGCACAAATCTAAATCCAACGTGTCATTTCTAGCATCAAGCTCAATCCAGCTACGTCCTGTCATCTTCTTCAGTCCAATTCTTCTCATACTACCACGAACTTTATTAGCATCATCCCATCGTTCAGTGCTTGCGTAATGATTAGATAATAAAGCAAGCGCACCGTCACCAACATTTTCGTCATTGAGAAGGTTTCTCCTGATCCAATCCAACATCTCCTCGTTGCCATGAATTTTGCAGGCTTGAAGAAGAGCTACCCAAACAGGACGCTTGGCTTCAACAGGCATGCCCGTGAGGAAAGCCTCTGCTTCTTCAAAGAGTCCAGCCCGTCCGTACATGTCTAGCATGCAACAAAAATGTTGCATTTGTGGCATAATGCCATAGTAATCTCTCATGGCTTTGAAGAACATGAATCCTTTGTTTACTAGACCTGAATGGCTGCATGCAGACAGCAGGCCAATGAAGGTCACATCATCTGGGGGAACACCATGAATCAACATGCGAGAAAAGAGCTGCACTGTGTGCTTTCCGTGGCCGTTCATAGCCAAGCCACAAATGAGAGTACCCCAAGAGATAATATCCTTGTGCTCAAGCATCTTAAAAATCTGAATTGCCATATTCATATCTCCACATTTAGCAAACATGTTAAGCAATGCATTTCCTATAATGCCTTCTACTACAAGGTCAGATCTTCTTTTGATGTAGGAGTGGACCCATTGCCCCAAACTCAAAGCACCTATAGATGCACATGCTGACAATACAGTAACAACGGTCACCTCGTTAGGCACCGCCTCCCCTTCTAGTACCATTTTTTTAAATAAATCAACAGCCTCTTCACTACGACCTCGTTGAGCATAAGCCCCCACCATTGTGGTCCAGGAAACCACATCTCTCTCCATCATATTAGCAAACAAGTGTTCTGCATTAACCAATGATCCACATCTTGCATACAAATCTAACATTGCATTATCAAAAATAATGTTATTATCTACCATTCCCTTCATTCCATACGCATGAATAGCTTTCCCTAGTGTCATAGCTTTCAGGAAAGAACAAGCAGTCAATGCACTAACAAGTGTAGCAGAATTAGGCTTCACGTCCATCAATGAAAATTTCCTGATGGCTTCTGCTTCAAAACCACACTTGGAGAGGCCAGAAATTATGGATGTCCATGAGACAACGTCCGGGGAAGGTATGAATTCAAATATTTTCAAGGCAGAACCGACATCATGTTCCACAATATAGAAGTGAAGCAAGCAGTTCTGAATGAAGATATCAGCATAATGACCGGATTTAATGACATGACCATGAACTTCAAGCCCTTTTGTGTGTGCATGTAGTAAAGAGCAGGCCTTGAGAGTCAGAGTGAAAGTGTAATGATTATGGGAGAATGGGTAGTAGAGCATTAAGTTGTAGAGGAGAAGGGCATTTCGTGGGCGGGATGAATTTGCTAACACTCCCAGTAATGGGTTTAATATCTGGGGCTTAGGTCTTATTATGAGTTGAGCATGTATTTGATTAAGTTGCTTGAGAGTCAAGGTGGTTAATAGAGACTTCAGTGGCATGCTATGTTATAACTGTAAAAATGGGGCAAATTTTCTTGTTAATTTGCAGGAAAATACACCATTCAAGGCTCTTAGCTGTCTAGAGTCTGTTGCTGTCAGTCTCGATTCCTTCAGATGAGAAATCCCACCACCTGATGCCATTGGCTTCCCACAATGCAAGTATTGAATTTCAGAACCTCGCTTGCTTGGGTTGTCTTCCATATCCTAGAAGCTGCTTTTAACTTCTTGAGATTAATTCCTGATTCTTGTCTTCAAAATCAATGCTTGCATGGTCTGTAAGGCTCTTCTGCAAAAACATGATAACTACTCTGATTCGAAAAAGGCATGCGAACAGATCAATGCAAGTTCACAGAACGCTGCAGTAGAATATATCAAATTAAATCACGAACCTTTTATCTAGTTTTAAGTTTTTTAAAATCAGACTAATCATTGAACTAGCAGAAGCATTGATTCATGAACACTCATTGATGGAGAAGTCAAGAAGGTTATCAAATGATCTCTCTTCATTAACTTTCTGGTTTTCCTATTCATAATAGCGTCACACAGTTACCCAATTCAATTTCTAATCTAACATAAAATTACCAAAATTTATTTATACATTCAATGTCCACATTATCCACGCTTCAATATAGAGGAGTAAATAGTTGGCAAAAAAATATAGAAGAGTAAATAACTCTTACACTACCATTTATTCAATGTTATCACCAACAAATTGCATTCCCAATTCAAGATGATTTCCTTTCTCAAGCATTTGAGCAAACACTTCATAGACATCCCATGGGCTAACACGAAATAGGAAACTTAATTCTTAAAATTTCCACTCAAACTCTTTCTAACATCACCAAGAAGTTACAAGACTTCCAAATTGAAATTTAAATCATCATCAACCCGACATAGAATTCTTCTCTACCATCAAAATACTTTAAAATCACATCCAAATGAGCCTCTTCCTTTGGCCAAAAAAAAAACAGAGCGTCTTCCTTTTGTTGAACACCTTGAGGGCACTCAAGATTAGCTCACACACCAAACACCGCAATTCATAAACTCCCAGCAAATAATATACTCGCAAACATCAATAAAGTCCATTAAGGTTTCAAAACAATCAAATTCTCAACAAGGTTAATATCAGATCCTTCCTTCTTGCCAATAAACATTTTTAATCTAATAATTTCAATCAGCAGCAACCACCAAGAAAGAAAAAACGATTCGAGCTTGCCACTCACAGAAGAGACTAAAGACGATGAAGGAACAAGGGATGATAGGTTGAACCCGTAAACCTCACTCAAAGCAACAGAGGGCAGAGAGAGAGAGAGAGACGGGGCCGACGCTGAAGAACCAAGAAGAATGAACCGCGCGCGCACAGCAATGCAGGCTTCAATTGTACCACCAGAGGCGGCAAAGGAAAGAAGAAGCAAGAAGCAAACTGCTCACCCAGCTTCACCACGGAAGCGACACGAACAGAGGAAGAAGCTAATACACACACCGATGCCGGACAGAAGGAGGACGGCGGGATTGAAGAACGGAGAGGGGCTGATGAACCGAAACTCTGCACCCGCACGCTGACGCCGCACACTGAGGTGTCTGTTTTTCTTTTCTCTTTTTAAATATAAACTGAATATATATATATATCTCAAATTATAAAACTTATTTTTCATATTTATTAATTTTTTAAAATTAGCCTTGTAAATGTTCTCTTGGTCAAGTAGAAGAAGAAGAAGAAAAAATATTAAAGAAAATAATTATAGTATTTTAAGAAAAACATGTTATATTTCTTGTAATTAATTAACTTATCTAACTTTTTTAATCTAATCAAATTCGTTAAATAAACTTTACGTAAAGAACCAAAAAAGTATATACGCAGCATATTTGAACAGTTAAAGGAGAATATTGTAGGAAGTTGAATTTTTACATAAAATATTATTCAGACACGAGGGACTATAATTTATACACGATGAAAAATAAATTGCATTAGTTGTACAAAAAGAAAATGTGACGAAAGAGAAGATAATGGCACACAAGCTAGGATGAATTGCATATGAAAAAAAAAAAGGTTAAATTATGCATTACACAAGGTCCTTAAGAATTATTTGTCAATTTTTTAAAATCATTATCCCTAATTTTCCGAGCTCGAAAATATCCAATTCAGTCAAATCCTGACCGTTGAATTTTACCACTACGTGGAGAATGTCGCCCATAGAATTAGGAAAAGAGGGAAAGAGAAGAAGGCTTCGCATGTTGTTTTTGCTTCATTGAAACCGAAAATGTGAACAAACTTTGAATCATTAACGTCCTCTTCATCATTTTACTGTGCTGAAGCATAAGGTATGAACACTGTTATTGCATTATCGAAGGCCGACAAATCCAATTTGACAACAGAGCAGGTGTCTCAGCCCTCACCTTTCTACGTAACGACACGCACCAAATAAGTATATCCTTGTGACAAAAAAACATGGGTATAAACAAACCTAAAAAGTGGAGTTTTGAGAATATGATAAACACGATATCAAAACCATAAGTTTAAAATTCTGAAACATCTTTCCAACAGTATATGACCTCTTTTGAAAAGAACATTACAGAAAAGCTTAGGTGATCCAAGGTTCAAACTAAATGGGCATAGTTTAAGCTGCATGAACCATGGATCTGCCGACTAGGCAGTTTCTGTTGCTGGCTGTGTGACCCCATGCTTCACCAACAGCTTAGTCAGCGTCTCAGGCGAGCAAACTTGATACTTAACTTTTCCAGAAGGTGACAGGAAAACCTCAGCCAATTCAAGCTTATCTGACGTCAAACTTGTGCTGTCCATAGTTTTACTGAGCACTTTAAGAGCTAGCTGCACAGCTTCTTCCCTTGTGATATCATCCTTATAATCTTGTTTAAGAATTGACTGTGCCGCCTGATTATTTGCGCCAATAGCTGCAGCTTTCCAACCCCCATAATTTCCACTAGGGTCACTCATATAAAGCTGAAAACCAAAATTTTTGTCCCATCCTGCAAAAAGGAATGAGACTCCAAATGGCCTAAGACCACCAAATTGTGTGTAACCCTGTTTAGTATCACAGAGGGATTGGACCAACTGTTCTACAGGCATAGGTTCCTGGTAAGCATAAGTGTAGCGTTGCGCTTGGACCCTTGCAGTATTGATTAGGATGTTAGCATCTGACATTATACCAGCCACAGCACAAGCAACATGATCATCAATCTTATACATCTTCTCCGTTGAGGTGGAGGTTTGCAGAAGCTTAGATGTTACCTTTTTCTCACCAACCAAGACAACCCCATCTTTTGATAAGATCCCTATAGCAGTACCAGCATTGCCAATGGCCTCCATTGCGTACTCAACTTGGTAAAGACGGCCTTCAGGGGAGAAGATTGTTGTACGGCTATCATATCTTCGAGACATATTGATATCTGGCAATTGCTTCAAAGCAGAAGGAAAAAAAAATATAGGAATTAAAAAGACTGCCTTGTAAACGATTCTTAAGTTAACATTAAAAAATTTAAATCTTTACAATATCTACTGTCGGCTAAGGAAAAGAGTCATAAACTGAACATACTATAGCAAGAAGAACACAGTATTAAACAAATGATACTGTGAAGTCTCCCAGTATAAAACCTCATCAAAGCCTTGTGCTTCAGTCAAAAGATAGACAGAAAATCATATGACTGAAGCACAAGGCTTCATCACTATCGATACAAGCAACACCGGGAAAGTATTGGATAGTTGCTCGTGATTGAAGATAAAGGAAAATAATTAAGGTCAACCTAGAGAAACTAAAAGCAATAACAAATTAGAGTCACCCAACCCCAAGACGTTTAATCTGGATTCACATAAAAAGAAGAAGAAAAAATTAAAGACTCCATAAACTAGATTAGTCAAAGAAACATGCACATAAATGGCTTTTAACATCTGAGCTATAAATTAGTTCAAAATTCTTGCAGTCAGACTGAAAATGACCCCATTCATAAGAATTCCAGATCAGGTCCATTTTCTTTCATTAAAAAGAGTTGGATGTAAAGTACAACTCTTTGTCCAGCTATACTAGCATCCCAGCCCAACAAAGCCTAATTCAAAAGAAGACTCCTTGTACGGGGCCTAACAAGCCAATTCAGGAAGGACGGTCAATCATTGTTTAGACAAGCGAACAAGCAGAGCAAAGGAAGTAAAGGATCAATGCGGAGCTCTTGTTCAACCAATCTTTGTGAAGTATCTTCAACGAAACTTCCCCAGGGTTATGACAAGGAGAATAGTCATCCTTATGATTCAGAGACCGCTGGGGAATAGAAGATCACAATCTTCAACTCCTTTTCATCAAAAGATCACAAATCTGCTTATTGAACTTAAGGAGGAAGGTGATGGCGGAAGCACTCAAGCAAGATTTCAGGAAACTATTTCAATTGTTCAAATCTTTCAGCGTCAATACAATGGATCAAGCCATTGGAGGAAGTTGGATCTAGTTCCTTAATGCCCCAACCCTCTTAAATCAGTTGTCATGTTATAAAAAAGGTTCAGAATGACTCACCTATCATACGGAATCAAAATCTAAGGAAATGAAAGAAGATAAAGAAAGTAGCTCATACCTCAAGAATAATATTATACAAACACACTAGTCAAAACAGCACTTTGGAACAGTTCACTATAACCATTCCAGTTGCAAAGTTGGTTAGCAGTTCACTACTGTGTAAGTCCTGCTAATGACACCAATAAAACTTTACTTCAAAGTAGTCAGTGATGGAGGAAGAATTCAAGAAGGTAAGCAAATAATCGCTCTTTATTAACTCCTTCAGGTTTTCCTGATTCTCATCAAGTAGTTAAACTTGGTTGGGCCTCGAATATCATATTCCAACGGGGAAAACCCATCTCCTTAAGACAATATTGGGCTAGAAAACTTCTAAGAAATTGCTCTACAATTCTACATTACACTCAGATTCTGCAAATTTGACCTTTCTCATCTGCCAGTTGCATTATCTCAGGAACTCAACCACGGTACATGAACAAAAACGAAAATACCCATAACACAGGTACAATAATCCAAAGACATCCAGATTACAGGACTTACGCGATATAGAAGAATAAAATGAAAAACCTACAAAGCTCTAGGTTCTAGCCAGAAAGATAGCAAAACAAACGAAATTTGTGAAAAATTCAAATTCTGGACGACGCTTACCAGAAAATTGTGAACTAGTGATCAACACAGCCACAGGATCGGAATAACCGATAATCGACGCAGCAGAGGCAAGTCGGAGGCTTCCGCGTCTGGGATGGGAGAGCTACGATCGCACAAGGAGTAAGAATGAGGCAACTCTAATTTTTAACTTTTTTTTTTGTCAACACAAATTTATTTTTAAGAAAAACATTTCCCTTTTAAAATTGGAATGGGTCACAATTCAACATTGTTAAGGGGGTGTTTGAATGAAACCAAATCATGATTTGGAGAATAGTTTTTGGAGAATAGATTTTGAGGAGAACAGATTTTATGAAGAATAAATTTTATGAAAAAGTAATTTTGAGAAGTGAGAGTGTTTAAATACACCTCCGGTCCTTAATATAAGACCCATTTAACTAATTTGATTAGATTAAGGAAGTTAGGTAAGTTGGTTAATTATAAGAAAAGTGACACATTTTTCCTAAAACACCGTAATCATCTTTCTTAATACCCCATCTCCTTCTTCTATTTGATTATAGTTGAGGAAGTATCTATAAGGGTAATTTAGAGAACATTGATAAATATGAGAAATTGGCCTTATATTTAGGACCAAAACCAACTCAACAATTGGGTCCTATATTAAGGACCGGAGGAGTAGTTGTTATCAAAAGTATTTTTTACATGTGCAAATTACTAAAAATGGTATAAGTTAATATGATAATTATATAAGGGATAGATTTTATAATATATTTTGATTTGAAAAAATAAAATTGTTAATAAAATAATTTTTACTAACATAATTAATCATGTAAAAGATAATATAATTAATAAATAATTAATATGTATATATATATTTATAAAACATAATATTAAATATGTTTATAGAAAAATGATTTTTTTCACTAAGAGAAAAATATTAATTTTCTTTAAAGATTTTAAATATAAAATCCCATAATATTTTTTCACAACTATTTTTTGTAATAACATACTACCTCTGATGTTTAATATAATTAATTAATTAATTGTCACTACATGTATATATATTCATAAAATATAAGATGAATTATTTTTGGAGGAAAGAAAGACCAAATGTGTAGGACCGACTGGATAATGAATCAATTATTTGAGTCAGGAAAGGGGGCTCTTTTGTCATCCATGTTGGGCCCATAGCAAGGTTCCAATAATTTAAGTCAGGAAGAAACTCTGGACCGCTTCTGGTGAAATCATGGTTTGGGGGTTCAAAACCATAGTTTGCCTCCAAACCATGGTTTCACATTTCCTATCTCTGTTTGGCTGATATTTTTCCCAAACTATGGTTTGGAGTGCTTGCCAAATAAGTCCTAAGTTCGGAGTGTTTGGATGGAATTAAAATAATGATTTTAAAAGTATCTTTATGATATACGAAGTAAATATATAGAAGAGTTTGTCTCGTTTTACAGAAAAATACTTTTAAAAACACTTTTGGGTACTTCCAAACACTTTTGCATTTGCATAAATTTAAATTCGAGACCTCATATTTTCAACCGTGAAAATCCCTTCCACTCCAGGCAAACAAATAATAAGAAAACAATAGGAGGGATATTATTCCATCTGCCTTATAAAGAAGTCATTGTGTTAAAGCTGCCCTTATTTAAACCAATAACTATACTTCAACACTTCAACTAACAGCATCAGGCAAGGTGATCTTCAACTATGGTGTATTGATTACGCTACCATTAATTTAGTTTCTTTGCAAGAGAAAAGTTTTTTTTTTTGGAAAAAAAAAATAAAACTAAATAGCATCACATTCTTGATCAAGATCCATGAATCTAAGTGGAAATTAATCAAAGATACAAAAGGTTTCCTTCGACCTTATGAAAAGCTTTTGCCATCTGATCAGTAACCATTAAATGATTCCTATCCACATGTCTAATTAAGACCTACCAATCCATATTGATAATGGTTTAAGTATCTTGAATGATATATCTAAATGAGTGGTGTAAGTTACACTTTTTGTTACGCAAATTAATAACCCCTATGCAATCATAGAGCACAAGAATTTTTCTGTACCCTCTGTTCCAGCACAATTGCAAGCCATTGATTAATCCAATTAGTTTCGTTATTGCAGAAAGAACTGAGGTGGTGATAGTATGTGGTGGCTCAGGACATCTAATTTCTAGGTTAGAGTTTTACCTCCTGTTTCAAAATTCTACCTTTCCTTACTTTCTTAGAGCTAGGGCTTTTATCTTGGGAAAATTCCAAAAAATAATCATTGAGTTTTAAAATTTCAAATCAGGAATTACTATAAAAATATGTTATCATTTGTTTTTCGAATGTATTCATTTTCTTTACGAGTGTAGTAGTCAATATTGATTTAAAATTTTGAAATTCAACAGTTATTTTTATGGAGATTTTTCTTTTTATCTTTCTATGCCCTTTTTTTGTTTTGTTTTTTTAGCTTTGTAATCTTTTGCCTTAGTTTGACTGCATTTTGTCTTTGCTGAAAGAAAGTCATTATATAGTCTCATATAAGTAATTTATTGACTAAAAAAAATTATAATAAATGACTACAGGTTAACTAACTTGATGTAAGATTTTGTAGTAATTAGGTTATTTATGTAGAATTGCACAACAAGAATTTTCTCTTAATTATATTACAATTAAAGACTAAAATATTTCAGAATTCCAATAAATAATTAAAATATGTTAGATTAAATATAATGATTTAATATTTTATATTAAAATTTAAGAAAATTAACTACAAATTATTTTAAAATCAATAATAAATTTTAAAAAAGTAAGTGTCAACCTCTTGCCACTGTATGTATTAATTAAACTGTTTTGTAAAAAAAAGTTTCAAATTACAAGTTAGAAGATTAATTGCAAAATTTTACATACATCAGTATCAAATTTTTTTCCAGTCCAAAATAAAAAGTACCGAATTTTTTAAGCTTTTAATGTAAAGCTCTAGCACTTATACATGCACTCGCCAAGGAAGATTTTCTTTTTAATTTTTCACTCCAAAAAATTAGAACATTACTGCTAAATTTTTAAATGGCAAGGGTGAAATTCTTACTTTTATTTGCATTAGACAAGAAAGCATCTTGTTTTTTTTTCTTTACCTTAAAATCTAGAACATCATTTGCAATAATTTCAAATGATAACAGATTGTGGGAGAAAACCTATGTCGGTCGCTTTTTTGCCCAAAGTCAGATAAAAAGCTGTCGTGGGTCAAAGACTTTAAGAATCTCATGGGGTATGATTTCTTCAAGTGAGTGAATCTTGGACTTTGAGTTCTCCACTATAGTTTGACTTTAACTGTTATATAGTACTAGTAGTATAATTGTGGATATTTGACCCCACAATAATATAAAATTTACTGTTTATTATTAATTATCTAATAATTAGTACTTGATACTCCTTCTTTGAATGTGCAACATTTGAGAGAAATGAGCAATTTCATATTATACATCGAACTATTACCCAATTTTAGTTTTTTTAATCGAAATTTTAAAATGTTTTGATCTTAAATTGGATTTAAATTGGTGTATTCATCGGTGTATTTTCCTTTTTCCTTTGTCTATAATATAAAAATTAAGAATTATATTATTACAACAAGTTATGTCAAGTTACAAATTAATACGAGAAGCCTTCTCTAGTTTAGTGAAAATACCATATGTCTTGTTTCGTTTTGTCCATTCCCAATAACTTTTATTTCATTTCAGTGGTCAAACTATCAATGATTGACTAAGTATTTGAATTAATTTATTTTCAAGAATTTTGCGATGTATAAGATAAGAATGTAAGAGAGATTTTATCTTGAACAATATAAAAAATAAAGGCTTTTTTAAAATTGATTATGAGGGTTAACATTTTCAATTTGTCTCATAATCAATTATCACCCATATTTTTTGCCACTTCATGAGAAAATAAATCATGTAGAACACAGAAGAACAACCTTCCATTATTGAGATATGATACCATGACATTACATGAGGCAAACACCCCTTAAAATATATATAAAACCCTGTGATAAACTGATAAAATAAAGATGAGAATATTACGCCCACCAATTACTCAAAGGGATCTTTACACAGCCAGCAAAGAAGTAGCTCCTCCCAAAGCAACGCAAAACATTTTCACGTTTCAATCTAGAGATAACCAACGACACAACTGGAATGAAAGAATAATCAATCCATTGAATCTGTTCTGAGTTTGGATGCTGCTTCCCTTCATCTGTTATCCTCAAGGAGGCAATCCAAAGAGACCAAGACCCTGCCATCAAATTACCTGCAAATGAGATCCATAAAGTCAGAGTTAAGCTTTGAAGAGCTAATTCATAGAATGCATTAAGAAAAACATAGGACAGAACAAATGCAAGCATAACTGTGTAACTTGAAGAGCTACGTTGTGTATAACTAAAATTCACAATGATTGTAGATGGTGCACAACGTGAACTTACCACAGTTAAGCTTTGAAAACGGTGTCGGTTGCTGAATTAGGCACCATGTTGCCGAGATGAACTTGGTCTGGTGGAGAAATGAGATTAATTATGTTAGGTCAATGGGATATCTAATCATGCACAAGAAAAGTATAGATTGATGCTACTTACTGAATGGTGTTCTCTGTAGAAAAAAGCATGCCCCAATAACAACGTAGCAGAGCAGGAGAATAAAACCTTTCATGTAATGAGACGTTCCGTCCTATACAAGTTCGAAGAATCAGTATAGTTCAAAGATAGAATGAGGATTTAAAAAAAAAAAAAGTCAAAAATATTAGAGAAACCTCACCTGTAAAGTGAAGGCAGTGGCTATAATGGCCAAAGCAAGTGAACCCGTTTCAACGACGTTAAAGTTAAGATCCATTTTGTTGCCCAGTATCCAAGAAATAATCACACAGAGGGGAACCTACATTGTGATCACGTTTCAGTCTATTACCAAGCCAAGAAGGAAATCTAATTAAATGGAAACTTCAGTACTTTATGCAGGTGAATTCTTACCACAAACAAGCTAATTTGAGTTGCAGAACCCAAAGCAACACCCAAAGAGATGTCCTAAAGTCATGCACATAGGTTAGATTTTAGAAACTTATCCTAGAATTGAGGCTGGAATTTCATAAGGTCCTTCAAGTTCTTACCAGCTTGTTCTTAAAAGCAAAAATGATTGCTCCTGCATGTTCAGCTGCATTTCCTACTATTGGTAGTAAAATTATGCTGAGGAAGCTGACAGACAGACCCCACGAGTCTGATGCATCCTGTTCAAAGTAGGAACTGCAGTTATCAGTAATTACAATAGCCAACACTCAAAAAGTACGTTATCATGAATAAAATGTAGAGCTTTCTGCCATATTATTTGGTTGGAATATCCTCGAAGATACTCTTGAACAGCACCGATCATGACCCATGTGGGACATAACTTTTTCACATTAATTGTCTCTCACACATGCATGGGGGGGGGGTCATTCCTACCTAACACGTCTCTAGTCAGAAGATGCCTAATCATGCATTTGAGAACAAAGTAGAAATAACGTTTAACTACCTCTATTGTCTCCACCACATACTCAGACAACAATGCTATGAACACTGTCATCCCTGCCAGCCATGCAAACCCACTCCAGAATCCAATCACTGCCGCTTCTTCTGAAACGCTGTCACTATCATCGTCTTCCTGGTCAGGCACGATGACCATTTCATGTTAGATATTGTGGTATTGGCATGATACATATTAAAATTAAAAGCAGTTTAATATAGTTTAAGAAGTTGCTTACAGCCTGGGCTTCAAATAATTGGCGATGAGTCCAGAGTTGAAAGACAAGGTAAACGAAATATGCGATCAACATGACAATACTTGCAGCTCTTGATAATTGGAGAGATGGGTCTGCAGCGAGAGCAGTTGAGGCAGTAGCATATCTGAATAGCATTGGAAGCATGTGGCACAATAATGCAAGCAGAAGCATGAGTGAATTCACATCTGCTTGTCTCTGCAAAATAAATAACCAAAGCACACATTTCAATGGTCAATATCAGTTATTATCATTGCACCTAATAAAGCCCTCAAAAGATGCAATTATTATATCAAATTTTTACTGTTTATGTCTTCAAGCCAAAATGCGATGCGAGGACTTACTCTGTCATATTTTTGTGGCTGTGAAATGTTTGCTATGCCGCCACAGAAAAGAGAAGTTCCAAGGACTAAGAGCAGGTTTGAAAGAATGGAACCTAAGAGAGAATACTTGACCACAGCTATTTTATTGTTGTTGAGTGCAAATATTGCTATTATGAGCTCCGTCGCATTTCCACATGTCGCGTTCAGAAGCCCTCCCACTGTAAATCAGTAACATAAAGGACCAACTTAAATAATTTTGACATTTTTTTTCCCCACCATAATGATACATGGCTTTGACTAATTCTTTTTCTTATTTTTAAAACTTAATACATAGATTTGTCTAATTCTAAATACATGACATCGGATTCAATGTGATGGCGATGAGGGCCCAGGCATTTAATAATAAGTGAGAGTTTTTAAACAATGAAATATTTTATTTTTCATTTTAAATTTATTATTGAAAATAATTTCTAAATGATTTCTTATAAAAACGAATTGTTTATTTTACATTTTCTCATTTACAAAAACATTATTAAAAAATATTAATAAAATAATAATAATTTCTTTCAAAATTAATTGCCGGGTCAAAAGCTCAAGATTGATTGAAAATTGTCTCAATTTATTATCTTTAAGAGAGAGAGAGAGAGACAGGCGGACCCACGATTGCTTGCTGCCACACGAATTTTATGATCACAAATCAACAATTATACTATCTTCGGTCCTAATTATAAGACTCAATTGACTAATTTGAGGAGATTAAAGAAGTAAGTTAAGTTAGTTATTTGTAATAAATAAGTGTTGTCATTCCTAAAATATCCTTACTAATTAAGTGTATTGGCTAGAACTATCATTATTAGAAGGACTATCTTGGAAAAAAAATGTATAAATATGAGAGACAAAATAAATTGGGGTCTTATAATTAGGACCAAACAAAAAGTCAAACGGGATCTTATATTAAGGACCGGAGGTAGTAATTAATTAATTACCCAATGGTTAGGACTTCATCTATCGCACGTCTACAATCTACTCCCATACGATATTAATAGTAATAGATTTTATATTCTATGAAGTTTCATACCTGTGGGGCCTGTGTAATAAGCAACTTGTCTGCGCAGGACAATCATGAAACAGAGAATTTAAATAGGATCAGCATTAGTTTTATCCCGAGAGGCATTGAATATGGATAAGAATCAGAAGTTGATGATAGGATTTCCTTACTCTGTCAGGAAGCTGATTCGTTCAGCGAGTGGTGTGAGTCCTAGTAAGCTCAACGCAAAAACCCACGGCTGCATATAGGTGATAAAACTCTCAGGTCAAATTATACCATTTTCATTTGCAACATCAATGTATATATGTATATCAAGTATATATGGGAGTCTTAACTAACCAACGGGATTGAATGGAGTCAATATGAAAGAGCTATAGGGAAAATAAAAGGTTTTAACTGAAGGGATTGAGTCAAAAAGGGTTAACCATACTAAACACGAATCAAGATTTGAACTTTTGCTATGAAAGGTAACCGAGAGTGATTGATCCTACTAAGTATAGCAAATCAAAATTTGAATCTCAAAATATTTAAAAAGGGTACTCGTATTTACTACTCCCCTTTGATAACACAAGAGAATTCATGTGTTAAATTTTGCCAAAAACAAAAGAATCCATTCCATCTATTTTTATCCGTCACTTGTATACATATAGCTGTATCTAATCTCATTCAACTTAAATGCTGTTTGGATGAAACCAAACTATAATTTTAAAAATAATTTTACGGTAAACAAAATAAATATATAAAAAAATTTGTTTTAATTTTTTACAGAAAAAACAACCCTTTTAATTATATCCGAACACGTCTTTAGTTTTAAAAAACCAAGCTTTTGCGGTTAGCAAAACAAATGATGTGACGTGACGTAACGCGAACCAGTTTTGCCCCGATTGGAGTGAGATTGTTGAGGATGCATTTGGAGGGCTATTGTAACAGTTTTTAAGCTTCCCATTATCTCTTTCGTGCACCAAAACAAGTTCAAAAACAAACCGAGCAATAGCGTTCTGATTCACAAAGAAAAGCAAACAGGAGTACTCACTCGTCCGAATCCATAGCAATCAGCAGCAATGGCCAGAGGAATCGCAGGGAAAAGCACGGAAAGCTTAGTCCCCAGAATGACCTCTTGCAGATTAGCCAACAAATTTCGGAGCAAGGCGCAGCGAACTTTGGAAACAAGCCTGAGGTCAGATTTCTTGCGCAAGGAGGAAGAGGACATTTTGCGAGCCGAACGGCCGTGCCTCATGATCTCCTTGCCGGTCGGTTCCTTGAGGTTTCCGTTCTCCAATAGCCTTGCTTCTTGATAAGACGCCATTTTCAAGCTTCTTGGTTGGTTTCAGAGAAAGATTAAAAGGAGAGAGTTGGAGGTTTGAAGAAGAAGAAGATGGCAAAAGGGGAAGATTAGTTGTTTTGTTGTTGTGGGCTGTAGGCCTACATGTATTTCTCGTGAGGTGGTGAGTAGGAGTGAGGCCATACTACTATATATACGACGATATATGCAGCTTCCAGGAAGCTTCCTAATTTCTATGATATTTAAGAAAAACATTTATTTTTGATCTCACAAAAATTTTAATTAGAGTATTACTCATTCGGTCCTTAATATAAGATATGTTTAACAAACTTGATTAGATTAAAAAAATTAGATAAGTTAATTAATTATAAGAAATATGACATGTTTTTCCTAAAACACTATAATCATCTTACTTAATATCATTGCTCCCTCTTCTACTTAATTATGGTTGAGGGAGATCCATAGGGATAATTTAGAAAAAATTGATAAATAAGAAAAATATGTCTTATATTTAGGACCGAAATTAACATAATAATTAGGTTAACTTAATAATTAGGTCCTATATTAAGGACCAAAGGATTATAATTTAACTCATGGCTTTAATGACCTGTTGTCATGCTTATCATGCCACTTTTTTCTTCCTTAGCCCTTCCACTAGTTTAGAATCACAAATTAATACTACCTCCTCTTTTAATATAAAAGCTAGTATAAAATTGAGTTTGATTCTTTAATCTCTCAAATTTATAATTTTTTTTTGTAAAACATCCATAATAATTGTCAAAGGTTATCATTAAAGGATAATTTCAATACATATGATTAAATAGGGTAGTTTTAAAAAGTCAAAAATATTTGTTATAATTAACCAACTTAATTAATTTTATTAATCTCTTCAAATTAATTATCTAACTCTTATATTAAGTTTTTACGTTAAGGTGATCCACTACCAGAGATAGTACATGTGCATTTGCACTCTATTTTTTTTTTCTTTGGAATGAAAACCTAGATACAAACTAGAACAACAATGCAAAACATCAACAAAACCAAAGCTCCTTCGTCACTTTTCACCTCTTGGTAAAAAAGAAGAGGTTGGTCAAGAATCCAAAAAAAACTATCAAGATTATGGGAAAAAATTAGCTAAGCAGTCTGCTAAGTGATTTTCCTCCCTGCACACATGATGAACTTTAACCTGCCAATCCTGGTTGAAAATAAGGGATGTTGGCCATCTCATCCTTTAATGACTAGGATGATAACCTACAAGCTTTGAAATTCTTGTTTCAGCACATGTTGAGCCCATAAATAATGCCAATCACATATGCAACCATAGGCGGCACATTAATGAGTTTATAGCTAAAACCACAAATCCAGTTATCTGCTCCATTCCTTGTGACTCCACCATAAATGCTTCTACTGTCCTGTAGCACAGAATCATCCACTGCTAGCTTGACCCCTCCATCCGCATATCTATTGCTTTGCCCTTCATTTGTTCCATTGAGATTATAAAACCGGCAACGCTTCAAGAAATGTATTGCGTTTAATTTCCTTTCTAAATTTATTGGAAATGTTTTGTATAGAAAGGAAGTTTGTGAATTTCAAATTGGAGTTTGTAAACTACATACCCATTTGTTAATTTTTAAGGATGTATCTTATGCTCTTTTTGATATACACTGAAAATGTTCTGAAAGGAAAGAAAAGTTATTAATCTTAAATTGAAACTTGTAAACTGCCTAATGTAACTTATTAATTTTTAAAGATATATTATTGTGTTTAAGTACTTTTGAGATTCATTGAGAATTTTTTGAAGAAAAATGGAGGTCATTAATTTCAAATTAAAAGTAGTAAACTGTGTAATGTAACTTGTTAATTTTTAAGATATATTATACTTAAATTTTTTTTAGATTTATTGAAAAATTTTTGTAGGAAAAAGGAAATTGTTAATTTGAATTGAAATTGTGAATTGCGTAATGTATCTAATTACTCTTTCAGTCCTAAATATAAAACCCTTATACTAGTGTTTATAAGGGTCTTACACTTAGGACTGAAAGAATTTATAAGGGTCTTACATTTAGGACCAGAAGAGTAATTTTTAAGGATTTATCTTATGTTCTTTTCTAGATTCACTGGAAATGTAGGGAAAAAAGGTGTTAATTTTGAATTGAAAGTTATAAACTATTTATTTTTTTAAAAAACGAAAATCAAGATTAAAAAAAAAAAGTTGAAAGTCCAACCTGCAAAAAAAAGAAGGGAAAATTACACTCAGGTTCCACAGAGCACAATTAATATAAAAAAGGTCTCTTGAAATCGTGAAATGATTCTGAAGTCCTCAGGGATCTGTGTGTAATTAATTCTAATTGTGAAATTACCCACTTACCTCTGTTAATTTTATTGCAGCAATTCGTTTACAATCTCAACAGTGGCTGTTAACAACCCGAGAAGACGTGATTGACAACCTCGGCAGTGTTCATGACAACTCACTCTGTAGAATGCCAGGGGCGTTGTTGAGGTTGTTAATCACCTCTTCTCGGATTGTTAACAGCCACTATTGAGGTTGTAAATAGGTTTTAATTTTATTGCAGCAATTCGTTTACAATCTCAACAGTGGCTGTTAACAACCCGAGAAGATGTGATTGACAACCTCAGCAGTGCTCATGACAACTCACTCTGTGGAATGCCAGGAGTGTTGTTGAGGTTGTTAACCACCTCTTTTCGGATTGTTAACAGCCACTGTTAAGGTTGTAAATAGGTTCAAATTAACAGGGGTAAGTAGGTAATTTCACAATTAGAATTAATTACACACAGGTCCTTGAGGACTTCAGAATCATTTCATGATTTCGAGAGATCTTTTTGATATTAATTGTGCTCTGTGAGACCTGAGTGTAATTTTTCCAAAAAAAAAAACTAACTTTTAATATGAATAGTAGCAGGTGATGGAATGTTGCTTATGCCTTTTTCCTTTTTCCGTTGACAACATGTTGTTTATGTATCCTTACACATTACTTTTTTGTGCTGAGGTGCCACGGAAAGTTAACAAATATCGTCAGTTTTATTTTTATAAAATATATTAGTGTCAATTTTCCTTCCACACATAACTGGAATTATCATTGTAAAATATAAAAATTCTAACAAATTATAGTATTTATGATGCGTAAGTATTATGATCGATTCTTCTAATTCTAATAGGAGGACAATAGATCCACGTCTAATTATAAATAGATTTGGATAGCTAGCCATACATATACTCCTCCAGTCCTTAATATAAGACCCATTTAACTAATTTGATTAGATTAAAGAAGTTAGGTAAATTGGTTAATTATAAGAAAAGTGACACATTTTTCCTAAAACACCATAATCATCTTTCTTAATACCCCATCTCCCTCTTCTATTTGATTATGGTTGAGGGAGTATCTATAGGAGTAATTTAGAGAAAATTGATAAATATGATAAATGAATCTTATATTTAAGACTAAAACCAACTCAATAATTGGGTCCTATATTAAGGACCGGAGGAGTATAAAATATTAGTACTCCTCCGATCCTTATTATAAGACCCAATTTGACTTTTTATTTGGTCCTAATTATAAGACCCAATCCATTTTCTCTCTTATATTTATGCATTTTTTTCCAAGATAATCCTTCTAATAATGATAGTTTTAGCCAATATACTTAATTAGCAAGGATATTTTAGGAATAACAACACTTATTTATTATAAATAACCACCTTAATTTACTTCCTTAATCTCCTCAAATAAGTCAATTGGATCTTATAATTAGGACCGGAGGAGTATATAAATGACAATAATTGAACCGCTGAAAGCTACGGAACCAATCAATGGAGCTTGAAAAAATTCAAGACCACAAAAAGCTTTGTACGGATTCAATATTGGCGCCAAAATTATTCTTTAATGAAACAAAGAGGGATCCATCACTCCGAACTCCAAAGGCCAAATATGCTATGACCACAATAAAATATACTATTATGCTCCCACATTTTCTTATTATAACTCTCAAATAAAAAATCAGTTAAAATTAATTTAAAATAATAAATAAATAATATTTTTATTTTTAAACATTATTATAATAAATAAGAAAAAGGATGGAAGATAATGTATAAGAAAATATGAGAAAATGCATTACAAAAAAGAAAATAAATAATTGAAAATAAAATTTTCAAAAAAATATATTAAATACTGAGACAAATTCAAATATTAGCTTACCACTCTAATTCTACATGTAAATCTCTTATAAGAAAAAATTTTGTTCTTAAATATAAGTCGTTTTTAAAATAATTAATGACATCTTATTAATTTTACTCCTATTGAATACAATAAAAAATATACGAGAGAAAGCGTACAGCTTATATATTTTTCCAATAAACTTTCTTTAACAGGGGAAAATATAGAAAATTTTATTGAATTCGAATTTTGGAATATTTTATATGTATTTAACGAGCGTAACAGAAAGTCAGAAGCGTACGTATCTACAGTACGGCCATGCACAGGAAGGAGGAAGCTTCCTGGAAATTGAAGAAATTGAAGCGGATCCGGACAAACAAACATGTTCCATGGTCAGCAAATTAGTGGAAAATCACCCGATTCAAATCCTAAAATCATGCATTTAAAATATTTGTAAAGACTTGATATGATTTAAATTCCATGTTATATTTCAAATTTTTAATATTGAATCTCTTAAAAAATAAGATAAAAAATTCAAAACATACACGAACCTATAGTTTTGTTAAAATTTAACAATGAACAACGATTCCTACTTTGGTCAAAATAAATATCTTAATAGTACAGTCATAAATCACAAAAGCGTTCAGAAAGACAATGATTAATGAGAAGAGGTTGATTTGTCATAATCGAGACATGAATATATTATTACTTCTGATCCTAATTATAATATCTCGTTTATAAATTATAAATGAGATCTTATAAATAGGACCGAAGATAATATTAGATTTCAATTGAGTTGAACAAAATTAACGAGGAATAAGAAAGCTTTAATCCCGGCAAGTATTTGACATAATTAACATAATATCATCCATAAAACACAGAACTTAATCACTAATGATTAAGCCCGTACAACTTAACTTGCTCTTCATGGAGAAGTTGCCTACCAAAAAAATATCTTGTAGGATGAAGTACACAATGCG